GTTACGCTATTTTATGATAGAATTAATGTGAAGTAAAATATATTTATTTCAGTCTGAAAATTTGTGGACTAAAACGTGACCCCTCGCCCCAACATCTGCTATGACTTAGGCAGTATCTTCTTTTAAAAATATATATATATATTTAGTAAGGGGTCTACAGGATCTCACTACACAGATTGGACTCATAGTGGTTCTCTTGTTTTCAGCTTCTCAAGCCCTGGGACTACAGGCATGTGACACCACGCCCAGTCCCAATTGCTGTCTCAGCATGCCCCAGGGGCAGGGCCTGCAGGGCACACCAGGGATTGAACCCCTGTCCCTGCATCTGCCTAAGTAGATGCTTAAATCAGCTGAGCTATCTGGCCGGCCCTGGGTAGTGGCCTTCTTGCTTCACCTTATGAAAGGCTCACAGCACCTCTAATGAGTACATATCACTTATGTTTTCTTTTCTTTCTTTTTTTTTTTGACAGGATCTTTCTACCTAGTTTAGGCTGAACTCAGACTCAGCAATCCTGCCTCAGCCTCCTGTGTGCTGGGATCACAGACATTTGCCACCACCCTGGCTACTTGCATTTCATTTTATAGTAAGGAAAGTGAAGCTAACTTGAGAAAATAGTATAAAAAGAATACTTTCTAGACATCTTGATCAGAAAGGTTTTTTAATAGTTGTTCTCTTATTTCTTAAAGGAAATAGAGGAAGTTTTTTAAAAAAATAATTCAGAATGGAATGGCAGGAAGAGTCTAATTGAACCTTCAAGCCCACAGCAAGCCTTACTCTCCACTGCAAAAAAGCTGAGTATGAGATCAAGGGCCCACCATAATTCCCTGGACAGTTAGGAGGAGGCTTATGTGCTGGTACCACTGATACACAGCTATTACTCACCTGAACACAATGATTTTTATTTGTTTTATTTTATTTATGTATATGGTACAGGATGTCACTACACGGCTTGGACTCTTAGTGATCCTCCTGTCTCAGCCTCTGAGTGCTGGGATTACAGGTATGTGCCACCACCCCTGGTCTTGGTGGCTGGCTCAGCGCACCCGGGTGTGGGGCTGGCACAGCGTGTGGTGCTGAGGATTGAACTCAGGTACCTGCGCTTACTTAGGCAGGCCCTTAGTCCACTGAGCTGTCTTGCCAGCCCACAATGACTTTTAGAACACTGACATTTTAATGCACTCGCGTTTGTTACTCTGGGATATGACGCCTACCCTCTACTCTTCTTGCCCTTCCCCAGAGAGCCACCAACCACGGGAAGAGTGTGAATAAGTGTGGAATGACTGGGGCAAGCAGTTCTGCCATGCTGGTGCTAAATAGATGTATGTAGTGTACTTCGTTCTAACCCTTAACCAGAATTCCTTTGCTAAATTCATTAACACAGACACGGTTGGGAAGCCTCAAGCCTCTGAGTATTAGGAAATGTCAGAAAGATGGCCGCTTCTTAAAACCATTGATATCATTGTAAATAGTCAGGCCTCAGGCTACTAATCCTAGAGTGGGATTAAGATGAAACTGACAGAGAATGTGAAAAGGTGACGGGGCTTAGAGAAGGACAGGGAGCCAGGGCAGAGGACGGAGAAGGACAAGGGAATGCACACACAAAGCCACCAAGGTCGCACTTGCGCCATGACCCTCACCAGCCTGCTTGTGAGTCCAGTGTCCCCAGTGTCCCCAGAGTTCACAGATGCTACAGTCATCTACCAACCTGAAAACGCACCCTCAGCCAACAAAACTTGAGAGCAACCACTTCTAGTGCATATAAACTTCAGTTTCTTCATCTCAGACAGTTGGCTTTCACCTGGGCCCCATCCATGTTCTCCTCTATTTCTAGTAACGCATAATCCATGAGCTAACATGGACTGACGTTTCTAAAACATGAAAGAGCAAAAGAGTTTTTCCAGCTGCCCAATATTTTAGTAAATGATTTGGAGAAAGCTATTAACTTGCCTCCAGGCCTGAAGCTATCTGTGAGGGTATCTAAGAGAAAAAATTCTTACATCATGTATTCATTTCCACTCTTGTTCCCATGCTAAGAAAGCTCTTCCTCATGCATTTCTCATGACTCTGGAGCTGATTCTCCAAGTCAGCACCTAAAACCAGAGTAAGACCTGCGTCTCCCCACTGCCAGCTTCTTGTTGAGGCAGGTTGCTCAAATAGCTTGCGCTCTTTCCACTCATTAGGAATTCATTTTGGCATTGACAACGCTTCACTGATTATTATGATTCGTGTGCTGTTGTTGATTTAACTTCATCATGGACTTTCCAGGGAGGTTGTTTTCCTGCTGCTGGGTACTAGTTAAGCATTTACCCGGGGTCCCCCCAGAAAGGCCTTTCCCTGTTGTAATGCAGGACAATGCCTCTCTCTCTCTCTCTCTCTCTCTCTCTCTCTCTCTCTCTCTCTCTCT